TCCCCTCCCTCCCCAGCTGGCGGAGGCTCCTCCCAGGCCTGCAGGGCCCGGTGACTTCGCTTCTGGTTTCATTTCTCAAGGCCCCACCGCTCTCCTTCTCCCTTCCCCCAGCCCTTTGAATTCCTAGCTCCTTCTCCACTTTCTGTCTCAGCTCCAAGGTCACCGCCTCAGGGAGGCTCTCCCTCTCCCGGGCCACCTGGCTACAGACACGTCTCCCCAGCCTCTCCATGAAAGCCATCTTATTTGCCTGAGGTCACTGAATGGAAGCAGAGATCATCTTAATCATTTATTCGTCTTCAGGGTCTTCTCATCCTGCTCAGAAGGAAAAACAAAGGTCCATAGAGTGCTCTGAAGGGCCTGAACACTTGTCTGCTCCTCCAGGCAGCGGACACCCCGGCTGCCCTGGTCCCACTGCCTGGCCAACAGCAAGCACACTCCCACTTCCAGGCTTTTGCACAGACGCTTCCCGCAGAGCCTCACTGCCTCTCCTCCATGTCCCCTCTTTTCATATTTCTTTCTCTCTCCACCCGCTCTCCTAATCCATAAGAAGTGAGACCTTGTGAGCCTTACCCAGTGCTGTATCCCCATCATCAACAACAGTGCTCACCACATAGTAGGTATTCAGTAAATACATGTTAATCAAATGACTCCTGTGAGCTCTTCCTCAGTATATGACCTGGAGCAAGCCTCTGAGCTTCCTCCCTCCCCCACCCAAAAACATAGGTTATGGGCAAAACTATAAAAATTTGCCTTGTGAGGGGGTCTGGTTCTAAGTAGCACTGTACCCTCTTTTCTTTTTTTAATCCTCACCTGAGGATATTTTTCCATTGATTCTTAGAGAGAGTGGAACAGAGAGGAAGAGACAGAGAGAAACATTAATGTTAGAGAGACACATCGATTGGTTGCCTCCTGCACTTATCCTTGACTAAGGCCCAGGCGGGAGAGGAGCCTGCCACCGTGGTACATGACCTTGACCAGAATCAAACCCAGGTCCCTTCGGTCCACAGGCCGACGCTCTACCCACTGAGCCAAACTGGCTAGAGCTGTACCCTCCTTTTATTATGAAAATCTTCAAGCACATCGAAAATATTTTTTTTAGAAAGTAAGTATTCAGAGCACTTGAATACCCTTGCATCTAGATTTCATTGTTAACACTTTAAGTTCTCTTTATCTGCATATATACATTTCTTTTGCTGAACCACTGGAGAGTAAACTGCATGACACTCTACCCCTAATAGCTCAGGAGGCATCTCTTAAGATTAAGGACACATTTGCCCTGGCCCCATAGTTCAGTTGGTTTGAGCTTATCCCCTTACATCAAGGTTGTGGGTTCGATCCCAGGTCAGGGCACATATAAGAATCAAGTAATGATAGTGTAAGGAGCCTCTGGGACAACTTCAAGTGTACCAACATTCGCATTATGGGGGTACCAGAAGGAGAAGAGAGACAGCAAGGTTTGGAAAACCTACTTGAAGAAATAATGACAGAAAATTTTCCCTACCTAGCAACATATAGAAAACACCTGGCGAAAGACATAATAGACTTGTAAGTGTAGGAGGCACAGAGTCCTAAACAAGAGAAACCCAAAGAGGCCCACACCAAGACACATCATAATTAAAATGCCAAAGGTTAAAGACAAAGGGAGGATCTTCAAAGCAGCAAGAGAAAAGCAGTTAGTAAGAAGAAGCAGAAGCAGAAGCAGAAGCAGAAGAAAATGAACAATAAGATGGCAATAAATACATATCTATCAACAATTTAATCTAAAAATCAAGATAAATAAACAAGAAATCTAATGAGCAAAATAAACTGATGAATAAAATAGAACCAGAGGCACGGAAACATGGAACAAACTGATGGATCTCAGAGGGAAGTGGGAAGGAGGCCAGTTATAGTTTAACTGTATGTGCATTACCTATGGACACACA